GAGATAGAAAAAAAAAAACAGATACATACACCATTCATTGTAATAAATAACTTAAACGAGAAAGGGATATTAGGCAATGATTTTTTGGAAATAAACAAATCAACGATCGACTACGAAAAAAGAAAGTTAACAATGAAGATAGACGACAAAATCTATGACATACCGTTTTTAAGGAAAAACGGGAAACAACCAATGCACCTACGAGCAATATCCACGCAACCAATCATGGAACCTATCGAACAAACACAGCTCAACACACTCCCAGAGTGCATTCAAGAGAAACTAGACAGATTAATACAGCAATATCCTAGAGTATTTCGAGATACACCAGGGGAAATAGATGGTTATGAGTGCAAAATAAGATTGAAAAACGACAAACCAATCAACCAAAGACCATATCCTATTCCAGTTACTAAACGCGAAGCAGTCGAAAAAGAAGTTCAGCGTATGGTAAACATGGGGATAATTAAACAATCGAGATCACCATACTCGGTACCGATAGTACCAGTTTTCAAAAAAAACGGTGAGGTAAGATTATGCTTGGACGCTAGAAAGATCAACGAACAAATCATTCCAGACCGTGAGTGTCCGATGACAATAGAAACAATTTTTTCTAAGTTCGAAAAAATAAAATGCATTAGCACTTTGGATCTTCGAAGTGGATATTGGCAAGTAAAACTAGAAGAAAAAAGTATGGACCCATGTTCATTTCTCATAAACGGAAGAAACTACTCGTTCAAACGTATGCCGTTCGGTCTAAACATCAGCGGGTCGGAATTTCAAAAAAGTATGGACATGGTATTGGGCCCATTACTACAATCCTTTGTAACAATATACGTCGACGACATTCTAATTACGTCAGAAAATGAAGATGGCCACTACGAACACATCAGAATGGTTCTAGAAAGATTTGAGAAATACAATGTCACGATCAACATTGATAAATGTCAATTCTTTCGAAAACAAGTGTCATTCCTAGGACATATCATCTCAACCGAGGGAATAAAAATGGATATGGCCAAAATAAACACAATTCAAAACTTTAAAACACCAATACACCATGCAAGAAAAAAGAAATCCAAAGTTACTTAGGATTCTTGAATTTCTATAGAAAATACGTAAAAAATTTCGCACATATAATAGAGCCGTTAATTGAATTAACCAGGAATAATGCAAAGTGGACATGGGAGGAGAAACATCAACAAGCTTTTGAAGAATCAAAAAAGGCATTTTTAAAGGAGGTAATAATAACATTCCCGGACTTCACGAAACCACTATATATCAATACAGATGCATCAAGCGTAGCAATAGGAGGTGAACTATATCAGCAATTGGACAACAACGAAAGAGCAACACTCGGCTATGCAAGTAGGACACTCAAACCGCCCGAAACCAGATATACAACAACTGAAATAGAGGCATTAGCTCTTGTATATTGCTGCAGCAAATTTCGACAATACATACTAGGCCACAAAACAATCATACAGACAGACCACCACGCGTTAATCTTTATGAAGAGTTGTAGGCTGACTAATGGACGTTTAACCAGATGGACATTAGCACTACAAGAATATGATTTGGACATTCGATATATTGCAGGAAAGGATAATATAATAGCAGATACACTTACACGGTACCCCAGGTTCAACGAGGAACGGGATGAAGCCAGAATATCAATCAACAAAATAAGGAAAGCAGAATATAGTCCAGAATTAAAAAAATCCATCGATAATTTGGCAATTCTACAGAAAACAGATAAAAGAATAAATAAAATGATGAGTAAGGAAAATGAGTACATAAAGATAAAAGAAAACATAGTTTTTGTAAAAGACAAGACAGAAAACAATTGGCGTGTGGTCATACCAGAGAAAATCGTACATATGTTAACATCAGAAACCCATGAAATAATGGGACATGCAGGACGATATAAAACATACTATGCACTAAAAGGAATGTGCATATTCAAAAATATGCACAAAATCACGGCGGCAGTAATAAAAAATTGCGACAGTTGTCAAAGAAGCAAACCCATCAACTATCAAGCAAGTGGACCAACAATATCTCAGAAACCGAAAACACCGTTTGAAACAGTTTCAATAGATTTAATGGGACCCCTTCCCATGGGCCGAGGAGGAACTCAATACATCCTAGCAATATTGGACACATTCTCCAAATATATTAGATTATATGCATTAAAAAAAGCATCGGCAAAAGCAATACTAAATAGGATCGAAGTAGACTATATACCAAGAACAGGCAAACCACAGTCAATATTGACGGATAACGGAACACAGTTTACGGGAAAATTATGGCAGAAAAAACTGAACGACATGAATATCAAAATAAAACACTCCACTAAATATCACCCTCAATCGAATCCAGTTGAGAGATATAATCGAGAAATAGGAAGACTTTTGAGGACATACTGCCACAATCAACATACCAAGTGGCCAAATTGTCTAGAGAAAATTGAAGAGTGGATGAACAAAGTACGATCCGAAGTTACGGAAATGACCCCATGGGAGATAATCAAAGGAGAGACACCGAAACAACCACTAGAGGATATGATCAACTTTCCGAGGCCGAAACAATCAAAAAAAGAAGACATAATACAACTTGTAGCATCCAGGATCGAAGAAAAAGCAAGAAAACGAGAATCAAAAAAGAAAAACCAAAGCAATATAATATATGAAAAGGGACAAAGTGTGTTAGTAAGAGACCACCACTTATCGAATACAGATAACAAGGAAATAAAAAAGTTATTCCACATGTACAACGGACCATTCATCATAACCAAAGTCATAAGTAAAAACACGCTAGCCGTGAAGAACATACACTCGGGACGGGAAGAACTCATTAACGTGTCCGAGGTTCGTCCATACTATGTTATGGACAAACACAACAATTTATAAAAAACAACAAGGGGAGCCAATGAAAGAGATGACAACGTTGACGAATCAGAACCAAGAATTTGGTATATCACAAACTATATAAGATCAGTCAACAAGAATCATAGTCATCAGTTCAAGAAATGGCACCCATCAACCCAGAACGAGAACAGGCAAGACGAGAGGCAGCAAAGAAAAGAAGACAGCTCAATAAAACAGAAAACAAAGAAAACATATATGGTCTAGCGTCAGTAACGGCGCAGAAAATTCATACAACAGATGAAAACAAAGAAGACGGACGAAAAATAAACCACATCGTCACATGGATACAAAACGTAAATATGGCCAGAGACGCCATCGAAACACATTGGAAACAACCCTGGGACTGGAGATTCGTTACAGAAAAAACATTGCACAACTACATACCATTTGAAAAGAATATCAATCTGGCACAAGCAATGGACCACATCACAAACAATCTCCAACGATACGACAAAAAATCAACAGTAATAACAACTCCAGACGAGGACACCCCACTGTGGAATATGTCTCGTAATGCAATTCGACGGGCATTATACAAGGCATCAATCCGCAGACGTGTCGCTAACGATTCAACACATTTACCATCGGTTCAGTTACTTCCCCGATGACAAATCTGGGGGGGGGAGCTGTAACGGGATAAACCGTCACTATATTAAAATGGTCCTTTTCAGGACCACCAAACACAACAGTATGGCAACATAATGCGACACAAGAAATAAACGCGACACACTAGAATAAGTAGTTTGCCAACAGGAAAGTTTCACGGAAATAATTAGCAAGAACCACATTAACGAAGCGAACACCAATGGGTCAAGGTGTGGTTATTGCTTATCAAAGCAACCATTCCCGACCAATCACAGGACAACAAAGGGAAACAAATAGTATATATACCGGGACAGTTCACCGGTCAAATCGAACCTCTAGATTCTCAAAACACGAAGGATAAAGCACGTCCAACATCACACCAAAACAAAACAGAAAATGATAAACCAACGTCTGTAGATACTGATCAAGAATCGATATCTGAAATTTCCGATTTATCATCATCAACATCCGACATATCTAAAATTGGCAACCAAACTTCCGAAATAAAAACCACCAAACCAAGTCATCGAATTCCACCAATCTTTATACAAACCAGCCCAGAAATCTCATGGAGAGAACTCGCCAAAGTACTCTACGAAACACCAAACCTCGACCCAGTGATAGCAAAAACCACATCCACCCCTTTCCAAATTCAAATTAACTGTCCAAATGAAAACTCTTTCAGAATTGTCCAAGAATTCATGACCTATAACAAAATTAATTATCACACCTTCGCACTACCTGAAGAGAAATCCCTCAAAATTGCAATTAAAGGCATCCCTCTCGACATTACAAATGAAGAGATCATGGCAGAACTACAACGTATTGGTTTTAAACCCAAATTTGTACGAGCCTTTGAAAAGAACGGTAAAAGATTACCAATTCACATGGTCTCCCTAAACCGTACTGAGAATGTTAAAGAAATCTATGAAGTATCCGACCTTTTCTACATTCGTATAAAAATCGAACCATATAAATCTACAGGACCTGCACAATGTTTTTCCTGTCAACGTTTCGGACATTCCTCTCTGCAATGCGGGTACCCGCCGAGGTGCGTAAAATGCGGAGCAAACCACTCAAACAAAGACTGCCAAAAACCGAAAGTAGACGATCCAACATGCTGCAATTGTAAAGGAAAGCACACTGCTAACTACAGGGGTTGTCCTTTCTACACAAAAATTATTACCGAAAAAATTGAAAAATCTAGAGACACAAACACTCGAACAATCCTAAAAGCCACACCTCCGACAACTTTAACTCAAACACCAACGACCAAAATACAAGATATCGCCACAACAACAATTTCCTACGCAAAAGCAACATCAAAACAAACAGAAAAACCCGAACCCACCATCAATGCATTAACACTCCTTCGCATTCTTAATGACCTCCTCACAACAGCGCAAAAATGTGTAGATGCTACATCGAAAGACGCAGTCATTTCAACAGCACTAAAAATCATCAACGCCATACCTACAATCCACAATGAATGAACTAAAAATCATTTCATGGAACTGCAATGGCATAAAGAACAAAACACCCGAACTCACAGCTTTCATCAAAGAAAACAAAACAGACATCATCCTACTAGGTGAAACCCACTTGAACCCAAGAGACAAATTAACAATCCCAAACTACTACACGTATAGAACTGATCGACCAAAACCAGCGAATTGCCCTACAACAGGTGGAACGGCCATCCTCATCCGTAGGAACATACCCCACCATTACCTGGTACTTCCAACAGAAATGGATTCTACTTCGATCCAAATAAAACTAAACAACAATACGGCACAAATCACCTCAGTTTACAAAAGCCCTAGAACAAAACTCCACCAAAAAGATTTAGACACTCTAACAAAACACGATGGACCCTTCCTAATAGCTGGTGACCTCAACTCCAAGCACCCGACTTGGAATAGCCGACAAACGAACACATCAGGCAGAAAACTTCTTCAACACTCAGAATCAAACAACTACATCGTCATCGCTCCTGATTCACCGACACACTTTCCTTATAACGGTAAACACCAACCTGACGTTTTAGATATTGCCCTGATAAACCTACCTTCAATTAACTACACGCTGACTAATCACAACGACCTCTCATCAGACCATAACCCAATTCAACTTAACATACAAGCATCGCCGATATCAAGAAATCCCCCGAAGACATCCAACAAAATCAACTGGACAAAATTCAAGAACGAACTCTCGCAAATTAAAATATCCAATGTCCGAACACCACAAGAAATTGACCACAAAATAGATGAACTGACAAATAACATCAAAACACAACTTGAAAACTCAACCTACACCGTCGAACCAAAATTGAATAAATCACACCTTCCCGCCGAAATAACACTTGAAATTGAGACAAAACGACTTCTTAGAAAAATGTGGCAAACTACGAGAGACCCAAAAACGAAGAAACTATACAACGCCCAAATAACATTTGTCAAAAAACTGTTAACTGACCACAGACAATCTGAATGGGACGCCTTCGTACAAACGTTAAACTTTAAAGATAAATCACTATATAAACTCAACCACTGTCTTCTCCACAAGAAACCTGCGAATACCCCACTACAAACCACGCATGGCCGAAAAATATTCGAAGATGACGAAAAAGCAGAGCTGTTTGCTGACACCATGGAGGATCAATTTACAAACAACCCAGGAGAAAACATACAAGAGGCCGTTGATACGTATACGGAAATCAATCGAGACAAGACACCGTCTCAAGAGTTTATCACGCCAAAACAAATTTCGAACATTATAAACAAACTCCCAAACGGAAAGGCACCGGGACACGACAATATAACCAACAAGGCATTGAAGAACCTTCCAAACAACATACTTACTCAACTAGCTCATATATTCACAGCATGTCTTCGGGTAGCCTACTTTCCAAAAACATGGAAAAGAGCTATCATAATCATGATACCTAAACCGGGAAAAAAATCACTCCAAACCAGAAAGCCATCGCCCAATATCGCTATTGCCTACCATGTCCAAATTATTCGAAAAACTAGTACTGAAATCACTACAAAAATGTATCAAACCACGACCAGAACAACATGCCTTTAGAGAGGGACACTCGACGACCACCCAACTTGTACAACTGTTCAAAGATTTAAAAAACAACAAATCAGAAAAGAAATACACAGCTGCAACATTTTTGGACATAGAAAAAGCGTTTGACCGTGTGTGGCACATAGGTCTCATCCACAAACTAAATAAGAATACAGATCTACCAAATTACACCGTAAAACTAATCAAATCTTTCCTGACTGGACGTTCCTTTCAGATAAGAGTAGATGACCAACTATCAACAGAAAGAACCATACAAGCAGGGGTACCACAAGGCTCATGCCTATCACCGATACTATACACGCATTACATAAATGATCTCCCTCTTCATCCTCAAGTAAAAACATCAATATTCGCGGATGACACAATGTTCCATGCAGCCCACAGAAACAAAAGGTATGCGATATCCCATCTGCAAAAACAAATCAATCTAACTCTTGACTGGACCGACAAGTGGAGACTAAAAATAAATGCAGCAAAAACGGAATCAATTATCTTCGGAGGAAAACCAACAAAAACTAAAATAACCGTACGAAACCAAACCACAAACTGGAAAAATAAAGTCAAATACCTTGGGATAACTATCGACTCAAAATTACATATGCATCAACATGTAAAAATCGCAACGCAAAAAGCAAAAGGAGCAAGAACATCCCTCTACCCAATATTAAACAATAAATCTCCTATACCGCTAAAAACAAAAATACAAATATACAACATGTATATAAAACCAATTATCCTATACGGCTCAGTTGCGTGGGCGCCACAAATTAGCAAGTCAAGCCTGAAGAAAATGGAGGTCGTACAAAACACAACATTAAGACAAATAACGGGCATGCACTATCTTACCAGAAATGAAGCTATCCAAAGATCAGCAAACCTAGAACCCCTCTCAGTCATCATAAAACACGCAACCCAGACTTTTTACTACAAGGCCTCAATATCAAGATACCAACACATACCAAAACTATCAGCATAAAATTCAAAAACAAACAGTCCTAAAAACTTAAAGTAATCCAAATCAAACTAGAGAGAAAAGGCAACTGCCTGGAGCTCTAAATAGGCCATAGGCCGTCCTATAAAGGCAAGGTCAAATCATCTTCAACACCAGTCTTCAACATATCTTCTATCAATCAACAAACACTATAGAAGACCCGAAGACCCGAAGACCTGAAGACCCGAAGACTATCAACGCAGCAGCAACATCGACCTGAACGACGCCGGCGAAGCTGATCCGACCTAGCCAGTCCACGACAACGCACCCTGAACGCACCGGTCTAGCGTAATCGCTCGATACCGCCGAGACTCTACAGTACCCGGCACACCTGGTCAACAAGCACCACCTCACCGACCGACGACGCCAAGCCTACCGTGTGCATCCAGCGATCGACGGCAACGGATAGCCGCCACACCGGGACCTGACTAATCCATCGACGGCAACGTATAATATAATTATACCCCGGCGACTCACTACTGTCAGTCCACCCGTTCAACCGAGTCCAGTCACGCCGTTGGACGAATACCAGGACACGCCGGAAACCGACTTCGCGACGTAACTTGGCCAACCGACTATTCAGCAAGTCGACAAGTAATACCACGTTTCCCCCCACGGTGAGCTTACTCGAGTTTCACCGCGAGGAAGAACCGAACCCACACGACTTGCTAGAGCCCGTGCACGGACGGTTCCTACTCTCCCCTATTATTGTACTATTTCTACAATACGTATAGGCAAGTCCCGACTATTGTTTTGCTCGCGCCTCTTCAGGCCCGAACCCGCCCGCCGCGGCCGCTTCTTCAAGCCTGCCGCGCGGCCCGGGATAACTTGCCCCGATCATTATAAACATTATTTTAGTGATTATATAATAAACGATACTATAACGATACACAACGCATTGTTATTCACGATCACGGACGTCCCGGAAAGACGCTCCGTATCAGCTGTTTATATCTTATAATTGTTTCTTCGTCTGCACATGGTCGTGTAGTTGGCTGTTTTTGGTGAGTAATTTTCCAAAGGATATTTTCGGAGCCACACCATAGGGAGAAATGGTAGTTTCACCAGCAGTAGTATAACGAAAACAGTACTGAGAAGCCGAAGGATTCAAGTTACGATCCGGATTATATCGTATTACTCTTTGGCACACGAAATATGTTACCACTCTTATACTAGATCAATTAATTTTGTTTCATCGCACATGTATATCAACATTATAATATTACCCAAATACATGAAATCCATTGAGTACATTCCGCACAAAGCACAGTTCACCTGCATACGGATCCTAGCAAGTCAAACAAAGTTTTATGAAATATTCAGACGAATTAAAATTTCCAACGATGAATAAACACGGTTTTGACGAGACTATAATATTTACGTATATGCACATATGCACAGTCGTGTAATGTCGTTAAATTAGTTGGGTCAGTTTGCTTTTTCACGAAGTTCGGTTGATAATAACCCAGTTCTAAAGTACCGACATTTTTTTATTGCTTTGCTTAAGTTACACAATTATTTACATATTATGTATAAATATTTAATATATATATATAGGTATTTATAGTTGATAATTTCTAACCCTTGTGTGGTAGCTATATATATTACCGTAAATAAACTAGTTGTATGAATATTATTCTTACTGATAGCAGAAAATATGTTCTATTATACATAATTGAAGAAAGAATGTTAATTAAATGTTCCGACTTTCAAAAATTGAGCCAATACCAATTACCAATACACGTCGAATGACAAAACCTGATTTAAATTTCAATTCTTTGATAAACCATATATTTCTACGAATTCTTTTCTTTTCATTATGTTTATTTTTATAACTACCAGCTATTGGTAATTTATTTTTCTATTACTAATACGGAATATTGAACTAAATTTTTCCAAAAACTTTCCGTTAATTTTTTTAGTCTTTCGAGATTAATTGAAAAGTATTGTGGTTTTAATACTTTTGACATACCAAAGAAACAATCAGATCAATTTTTTACCGTAAACAATCCTTAAAGTAAAAAAAATTATGATTTTTACTGCCCTTAAATTGTCGGCAGATACATATAAAATCGCACATTATTGTAAAACTAATAATTTCATTGTTCGTCCTGAATCTAAATAATAGTAATTGTAAACACACAGCCTGGTATCCTATGCAATACAATACAGTACATAATTTTTTGAATAGTAATAATATTGTTTGGAGCGTTGTAGTTGGTTTATTGTATGATCAGAAATCGGAAATATAAGTTAAAAAATTGATTACTATTTTTAATAAAATATTTTTAATATTCGATAATATGTAAACTTCACTTAATTAATATAACAATACTGAAATTAATTTTATTTTTAACACCAATGGCTTTATAAGCTACAAGACGTTTAAAAACCTGAGTATATCATCATTTTGTTATATATTTATATAATATTTTATGCCCATTGATCAACGTATAACATATATTATGTAAATATTATGTGTGTATAAATGAATTATAATCCTACGTATGAATTAAATAATGAATTTATTGGTGTGAATTAAATTTGAATCAATCACATTTTTTTTCGCCAATCAGATATAACAGTTCCGATAACAACCAACACAAACTACAAAGTATTGATTATTTTCAGCTAATTTACATATTATAACAATAAAGTATATTGCTGCAAGAAAAAGGTGTGACACATATTTATAATTATTATATGTATACGATACATATAAAATATGACACTACACTTGTACGGGGGATATGTCGCAGATATAAATCACGCTTCATAAAATATTAAGAAAATATCATTATGAAATACATTTTAAACAGATTAAACTAATTAATTATAACAATGTGATGACTTACCTATGGGTGTTGAATGATTTTTATACAAGTTACAAGGACATGGGCTATCAGAAGTTGTATCAATAACATCTTTGTTAATATTGCATTGCTGTATACAAATGCTAGACGAACCGCATTCTAAAAAAAACAAACAAATACATGGCTGATAAGTACACAAAAATTATAATAATCCCTTTGGAATTATGATAAAAAGGTCTTCTATGTAAATAATATGTATTTATATAATTTGGTAAAGAACTATAATCCATTTTAGAAATTGGCAATTAAAATTAAGTGGCTCAATTACTTGTATAACCTACCTAGATATTTTATACAAGAGCGAGTATCAATTTGTTGATAACATTTTTTGAGTGAAAATTAAACAGTCCACATTAACAGTTGTAGCTAATACTTAATAGTATAATATACATCAACAAAATCCTCAAAAAGATTAACTTTTATTTGAGAATGTTAAGTTCTTACCATAAACATAGTTTATACAAATAGTTACTCATATACAAAAGGGGAAAAAACTCAAAAGGTACTAAAACAGACTCACTTAGATAAATCAAGCCATTTAATTAATAAAAATCAGTAAATAAAATAAAACTATGTGAGAATAAATAAATAAAACATTACATATAAAGTATTTGCAGCTATTCCAGTATATAAGGTTTATTCAAAATGTACATAAATGAGAACAGAGGTTTATTTTTTATATGTAAGCTTCTAAAATATAAAGTGTATTAGTAGAATATGGGTTAATTTATAATATTGAAATTTTTTAATCAGAGTACCCATGACCATATACATGGATATAATCGTTAAGACGAATAATTTCATAGATTTGACTTAAATTGGATAAATTATATTATGTTAAATCAATAACCATTATTTATGGGTTCTTATTGAATGCCAAATTAATAACTTTTAATTAGATTAAGACCAAAAAATAAATTTGTTTGTGCAAATTAACCCAAATTTAATATGTCTATATCAATAGACATAATATATCCATTGATAGATTACAAAATGTGATTATTAAATGACATAAAAAGTAAGATTAGTAAAAAATACGATCACAAAGAATATTGATTTTGGTTAAACAATACTAATACGTCTTATATATTATTTTCAGAATATAAATAGGGAAAATAAAGTTTATTAGCTTTAACAGTAAAACTTAAAGGAGGCCCTGAATTGAATTCCTGGAACAGTAAACGAAAAAGAGAGCTATGAAATTCACGGTACGCCGGTTTTCGACAAAATCTCGATAATTTTTCGGTAAATCGAGTTGCGTTTGAAATCAGTTTCTGATCATTACTTTTTAAATTTAAAATATTAATAACAAATCAATAGTCACTTGGTGGTCCAATGTGACCTATTAGAAAATCGATAAGAGTGCCAAACACGTTTCAAAATATAAACTCGAAGATTTATATTTTATTCATTCGTGTAAATTGTTAAAATACCTATTATATTGTATTATTTTATTATACATTATATTATCACTTTATAATTTTATTGGTTGAAGGTACTTATACTTTAAGCTTAAATTTAGTCTTCATTATATAATCCATACCATCCATACTAATATTATTAATGTGAAAGTAACTCTGTCTATCTGTTGTGTAGTAATACTTGCATGTCATGGAAGGTCAATCCCAGGGGCGTCCTTGATAGGGGATGAAGGGGGCAACCACCCGCTCCGTAAGTCGTAAGATTTTCTGATTTTGCTAATAGATAAATACATTTTATAAATGTTGTTAATTGAAGTATGTTAATTTGAAATATATAAATTATATAAGCATAAAGATGTTAAGTTTTGTTTACCAAAGTGGTATTCATGACTAAAATGTTATCGCCCCCCCCCCTCTCATCATGGAATTGACCTAAAAACGCCCCTGCAGGTCAATCCAGTATACACCTAAATACTCGAATAAAATATATTATGAGACATCGTCGAATTTTTCTCATTCTGCTAGGCACGGTATGCAATGGCAATTGAGGGGTTTCAATTCAAAACGTACTTTTTCCATTTTTGACAAAATCGAGTTAGATATTGATTCTAGTAGAAATAATGGCGGGAAATCGAATGGTGAGGTCAATTTTTGGCTAACCTCACTTATTCCCTATGAAATAGTCGATCAAAAATCGCCTTTTTCTGCAAAACGTTCCTTTTCCAGGTGTACGTTTTAATCAAAATAAACTATTTCCAATTTCCTGCAAAATGCACTTTTTCCTCATATGTCAGCATAGGAGAAACAAATCGTTCATAGCAAAATGTGCCATTTCCTTAATTTCTGAGCAAAACGTACTTTTTCCATTTCTTATCAAAAAGTACTTTTTCCTTTGTAATTGTAATACAAATTTAATATTTTGACTATCAATTTTTTTCAAAACGCACTTATTTTATTTTGTCATAACCTCATTAACAAAAAAAAAGTTATTATATTTTTAATAATTAAAATATAAATTTGTACTCAGGGAAATTAAATTATATTTATTTATATTTATTTTATATTCAAAAAAATATTTACATATCGTTCCTAACTTCAATAGAACCATAGATATCATAGATGACAAGATACGTTTTGGAGCGAAAATCGTGGTAGCCTACTTATCTCTATTGTTATTCACGATAAAATCATTAAAATTTAAAAAATTATGAGGGAACTTTTTTAATTTACCTTTAAATAAAAAGTATTGTATTAGTAATTTATTATATTGTAAATTAACTATAATATTATTATGAAAAGAGCACGGGCCATACAATTATTGGGGGCAGCAAAATCAGTAAATTGCTTTTATCTACCTAGCTCAAAATATTATTATAATTTTTTTTTTTAATAAAGTACTTAAAGGTTTTTGTTTGATATGTTAGGGACTACAGCCTAAAAGATTTTTCTATGACAGATCTATTAAAGGTAACTTCTAATGTCCATGCTGATAAAGGAGAGCATACTATAACAAAGGTTGTTCATCCAAGTAATGTATGTTATATTTTGTGGATAATATTATAAAGACATATTTTTTAAGTAAATCACTAAATTATACAAAACTGTTGTTTGTCATTTGTTATAAACTATTTATTTTATAAAAAACTACCATCAACATACATAATGCATAATCTTATATCATGTTATCATATAATGTTAGGTTAAAAATAATAATTTAGGTAGGTAGGCAGGTAGATATGTTATCATATAAGGTACCTACCTATCTACCTACCTACCTAATTTATTATTTTTAACATAAGATTTGTTTTTTTCCAAAAAGTGCTTATTCCAGTGTTTTATTCAAAAGGGACTTATTCCTGGAAAAGGTACGTTTTGTTCAAAATCACTTTCTTTAAATATAAAAATATACTAAAAAAAAATGAATGAGATAACTTTCGATATCAGAAATTGATTTATCATTTTTTTTACCTATTTTTCAATATATCACATTTCATCTAAATCGTTTAAAAATCAGAGAAACAAAAAATGAACTGTCCTGAAAAATTAGGAAAATGGAAAAGGTACGTTTTGAATTGAAACCCCTCAATTGCAAAACGCCGGAAGTTAAGTTGTGCTATGAGACATGTTTGTATTTTTGATTTATTTTAAAGTTACCGCTACCTACTTAATAAGTCATTTATCGACGTCGCGTCATCGCTAGCCACAAACTTTTAATTAACAGTTTGCTTATGTCTGATGTGATATTGTCTAAATATGAGCATCAATAATATTGTCGTTATGAATGATTTTTTTTAACGTTTGCTCAACCTAAATACTCATAATTTTGCACAAATTGTGAGTATTGTTTTTATTTGTTTTTTTTAGTTTTTTTTTTACAAAAAAGCAGTGACTACTGCTTATAAATTATAACTAGTTAATTACTATCGTTTGAAATTATTTTTTATAAATTAAAATTCTGAGAAAAATATATTCTTATTCGAAATATCAAAATAAAAATGTACGATGTACAAAAAAGTAAAAACTTGGAAAAATTATAACAATAAAAAAATAAGAAATATAATGATTCTCTTGAAGTATTGTTATGTAAAGATTTCAAATTATATAAACAATATATTTCCGAAAACATTTATATCTTTTAAAAAAATCAACCTGAAGTATTTACAAATATTTTATACCTACGGCATAATATTTTTTGCATAAATGTATTGACAAATAAAAAATAAATTATACTTCAGTGATGAAATAAATTATGGTGCTGACAATAAAAATAAAAATATTATGCAAAAACCCATTTACACAATAACGTATAGAATATAGATATATTTTATATACTATCATAATATATTGCGTTTAGCATATTATTATACAATTCGTCAGGATTACAAACGAGTAGTAATAATTTAAATCACGAACTTAACAAAATTCCAAGTAAAATCTATGTAGGACGTAGGTAAATCATTACTATATGTCAGCGAGTTTGAATACATAAAATGAGATGGATGAAACGGGGTAAGAGTTTCGGGGAAATTTTTGTTTTGGATCGATTTTGATTGCAAATAGTCTATGATTCTCTCCACAGAAGGTGAAACTATTAAAATATAAATTACACACCTTAAGAACAAAAAGTAATAAATTAAAAGTGTAGATTAAAATATATCGTTGAAGTAATACTGAACATTGATTTCGACCCAGCTTCGACATTTCCACAAGTAGCCAGAAATTCCTTCACAAACTGCAGTAGCGGTTACCAACTACGTAATACACATACAATTTATAATAAATAGTTAGGTATAGAATAAACATATATACGACGTATATTAAACGTAGAATACTTAAAATATGGGAGGATCTGTGGACAACCATATTCGTAACCGCTAACGCATTATATTTCGTGTCTATCTCTCCGGGAAAACACGTGTTGCACGTTAGCTATGCTACCACAGTATCCATAAATATATATAGTTTGTAGGTAGGTAGCTACCTATATTATATTATTATATTACATTACACACACGTTATCTCTTTATTTACGTACGATAGACCATATACCTCCCAAATCAACCCCTTCGCAATCCATTCTCACATATCTGGAATTCGTACCTCTTCACTATAGTTTCTTTCAATATGTTTTTATTTTTATTGAAATCAGGTACCTACGGGTTGATAGCATATTGATAA